TGACAAACACTTTCAGCAAAGTAGCTGGATACAAAATCAACATATAAAAAGTCAGCGGCATTTCTACATATCAATAACAAATATTCTGAGAAAGGGACTGGGGGTGTGGCTCTCTCAAGGCTCTGAGTTCAATCCCTAGTATCACAAAAAAAAAAGGAAAGAAAAAAGGAAAAACATATTGAGAAAGAAATCAGTAAAACAATCACATTCACAATAGCCTCAAAAATAAAATATGTAGGAATAAACCTAACCAAAGTAGTCAAAGACCTCTGCAATGAAAACTATAAAATACTGAAAGAAATTGAAGAAAACACTGGAAGATGGAAAGACTTCCCATGTTCATAGATCAGCAGAATTAATACTGTGAAAATGGCTATATTACTGATAGTCATCTACAGATTCAATGCAATCTTCATCACTGTTGGCAGGAAGGTAAATTAGTGCAGCCACCACTCTGGAGATCGGTATGGAAGTTCCTCAAAAGGCTAAAAGTAGACCTACTATATAATCCAGCTATACCAACCTTGGATAAATACCAAAAGAATCTAAGTCAGGGCTGAAGACATGTGTCAACATGTACAGCTTTGTGCCTGCCTAGCACAGGCCAACCCTTAGCTCAAACCTCAGTATTGCCATAAGGGGAGGAATTTAAGTCTGCATACAATAGAGACACCTGGACAACCTTTTTTTTTTTTTTTTCCCAGTACTGGGAATTGAACTCAGGGCCTAAACCTTGAGCCACTCCACCAGCCCTCTCATGTGGTGGGTTTTTTTGAGATAGTGTCTCACAAACTATTTGCCCAGGCTGGCTTTGAGTTGACCTTGTCAGTTCTACAGGTCTAAAAGCACTGTGACTTTGTGTACCTGGAAACATCTGGTCCACCTCCTCCCAGCAGGAGCAATAAGAAAGTGGAGGAACCTGGAGCTGTAGCCTCCTTGCCTAGGACAGAGAGATGTCATTGCTTTTCAGGAAGATTAAACCATTCTACCTCCCTCACCAGGGGCTCAGAGCTAGATGGTGGTGCTTGGTCCAGCCTTGTGGATCCCCCCTGCCCTGTGCACGTGTGTTCTTAACCTCCATCCCGTTTCCCAAGGGATGGCTGTCTCTCTTCCAATAGTAAGCAACTTAAGCCAGGAAGGCCTTGGGTCAGGATCCTCGAAGTTCAGCATGGGATGTGGTGCCAAAGGGGATTTACTGAGTCTGTGGATAAATGTCACAGGAGTCCAAGGTTCCCAGCCATCCTCCTCTATGTCTGGTTTTCCTGGGCAGCTTCAGAGCTCAAGACCTTGCCAAGAGGCAGAGTAATAGGTCAAGGGCAAATTCAGGGCCTGCAAATGGGCTGCTGGTTGGTCCTGAGGCAAAGGAAATTCAAGTAAAAGTGATTTTTGCCCCAGGGCTTGCCCTTCTGGTTTCAAGAAAAGAAGCCCCAAACACAAAATCCAACAGAGACAATATACAAACAAGTGCCTGGAGGAAGCATCAATGAACTGAGGGGCAGGAGCCTGTGTTCTATACTAAAATCAGTTGGCAACCTAAAGGCTGTGTGTGGCCTTGGGAAAGTCACTTAACTTCTCTGTGCCTTTCCTGCCTTTTTGAAACAGAGGCAGATGGGCTCTGATATCAGGTGGTCTATGAGGCAGATGGATTCCGATATCAGATGGTCTATTTTTTTTTATGGTACTGGGATTTGAACTCAGGGCCTACACCTTTGAACCACTCCACCGGCATCCAGCTCAGATGGTCTATGTTTGAAACTCAGTTCAACCACTTGTTTGTAGCAACCATGTAGATCCATGACCAGGCCCAGTTTTAGTAACTCCCAAGCTTCCGTGTTCTCCATGTGTACTTCACAGAGTTGGTAGAGCTATTTTACATATCCTAGAGCAATTTTAGGAGTCTCTGGCACCTTGTGAGTTATTATTGTAATGCTTATCTTTTTTAAAATCTGACAGGAACAGGCAATTTTTTTTGTGGTGGTGCCAGCCATGGAGCTGCACACCTCAGCTAATTGCTTGCCTTGACAAAGGCAAGTCAGGCTGGCCCCCCATTTCTAGTCAGAGCCAGCTGACCTCCTGCTTCAAAATAGTAGAGCACTACCATTTTGTTTTTTATAAACTCAAGGTTTTAGCCAATAAGCAGGGAAAGAAAACAAAAACCAACTGGATCCTGCAAATAGGATCTACATAGGACACCTATTCAGTCAGGGCTCCACTATTAACCCTAGGATCTGGGACCTAGGGCTAGTAGTTTCCTCATTGGCAAACTGCATGTTGGGCCAGACAGTTTTCAACTGGGGTTGATTTTGCCCTCATCCAACCACCTCCTCTTTCAGAGGACATTTGGTGATGCCTGGAGATATTGTGGGTTATGCCTAGGTTGGTGTGCTATGGTATCTAATGGGTAGAGACTAGGAATGGCTGCTAAGCATCCTACAATATACAGGGCAGCCTATACAAAGAGTTATCCGGTCCCAAATAGCAACAGTGCTAAGGCTGAGAAGCCCTGGTCTAGTCTGCTTTGACTTCTTTCTACATGGGACCATGGTCAAGTTACCAGCTATGTCCTTGGAAATGATGGGCTGCTGTCTCCTTCCTACCACACTCAACCCTGCAGAGCTCCACCTGAGATTCCCAGCCTCAGAGCCCTGTTTTTCTGGTTTGACACACTCAAATTCACTTTAAATGACAGAACCACTACTGTGGTAGAAATGAACCAAACACTCATATATGCCTGTAGTCCCTTTGCAAAGAGTAATTGCTTTATTTCAGCCCCTTCAGATATGGACAGGTGGAATAAATCTAATGTAAAGTCAATTGCTCTCAGCAAATTTCCTGCAGTGGCTTTGGGCCATGCCACTCATCTTTACTCCTATAGGACAAAGAAGCTGAGGTCAGAAAAACCAGCAAAGTCCCAGGGAGGCTGGAAGTCATCCTACTTAACATTTATTTCATGTGATTCTTCTCAGCATGGAGAGTATTTTCTTGTAAAAACATTTTCTTTGCTGCCCAGCTCACATTATAAATTAATTTACAAATATAGAATTGTGTAACAAACAATATTTATAAAAGTCCATAATTTTTCATACAAAAATATCCATAGAAAGTTTTTTGTACACAAAGCATGGGGATAGGTAGTCTCTTTGGTTCTCTTTCTGCATAATGCTAAAAAGTACTAGTGGTGTCATTTGTCCCAGAATAAGCCACTTAAAATAATTTTTGTAAGTATGTTTCAAAATTAAAAAAAATTTAATGTTGTTAGAGTCTTTTAAAAAAGGATACACAGGGAAAATGTTTTTTTTTTACAACATAGATGGGATTTTGTTTCTCAAAAAATGAAAACCCCAAACTAACAAAGGTTAGGCTCACATCAAAGGTTCAAAAACATGGCACAGAGGCAACTCTTAGAACATTACCTTCATCTTAGTGGAAGCTGTTCCCATCAATCCAAACCATTCCCATTGTTTAATTAGCACTCTTTGAATACACTGCCTCAACAAAAAATAGCTGTACTACTGTGTTTTCTGCTGGGTACTGGGAGGATGGCCATAAAAATTACTCAAATGAAGATACCTCTGAGAAGTGAAAGGGAGTGCTAATAAATAGAAATTTATATATAGTCTAAAAATTTTGACCACAAATGGTTTAATCATATTAAAAACTATAAAAAAATCCATTTAAAAACTATAGTTAATAAAATTCTAGTTAACACTTTTGTTAGAAAATAAAGTAACCAGGACACAATCTAACAGGGACAGGATACCAGTCTCACCATCATAAGTAAGGATAATGATTATCCCAGAATTCTTTTGGTAGCTTGAATAAGACGAGGTGGCATCTAACTTCACAAATAATTTTTTCTTTCTTTCTTTTTTTGTGGTATTAGGGTTTAAACTCTAGGGTCTTGCTAGGCAGGCACTGTACCACTTGAGCCACTCCACCAGCCCTGTTTGTGCGTTGGGTTTTTCTGAGACAGGGTCTCTTGAACTATTTGCCCAGCGTGGCTTTGATGGGTGATCTTCCTGATTTCTGCCTCCTAAATAGTTAAGATTACAGGTGTGAGCCACCGGTGCCCAACTCAAATGACTTTTATTTCAACCACAATCTTTGGTCAAGTGAGATCTAGCTTCATTCCTATCTCTTATATAGGTGTGCCTTCCCATGAGGCTGGCTTCTTTTTTAGGAACTAGAACGCTGAGGTTAAAGCACCAGCTCTGGGCTAGACTGCCTGGGTCCATTTCCTATCTGTGTGACCTTAGTCAGGTTACCTAACATCTCAGAGTTCCACTTCCCTCATATGGAAAACAAAGGGTGGTAATACCTATCTTCCATGGTTACCATTAGGATTAAAAGCACTAATGCATGTAATGTGCTTGAACAGTGCTTGGCACACAAAGCTGCTTGTACAACTTTACTGCTATTAGTAGCTACCAGGTACCAGACTTGTGAGCTTGATATAGATCAAGGATTTGTGGTGTTCCTATAAAAATCCAGATTGTCTGGCTTTTTTAGAAAAATCAGAATGTTACCACATATGTAGGAGATAACCAGCTGTTCATAGCAGCCTTCAGCTGGTCAGTCCCAATCACTCCCTACTGCTTCAGTTGTCAACTACTTGGGTTTTCCCACCCAGTAACTTCATTGGCTTATGGTTTTTAGCTGCCTATACATATCTGAGCTTGCTACCTTGGTATTCAGTGACTAACAAAACAGACACAGCCAGTCCCTGACCTCACAGGGCTCCCAGGCTACCTATCCCAGAACAGAGTGAGGTGGATTTCTCTCCAGAGAAACCTGTCAAAGTTTAGAAGAGTGTAGAAGGGTGTAGAAGAGTTATCTATTACACCCCAGTTACTTCAAGTGTAGTCAGCGGACCACAGGGTCACCCAGTAGCTCAACAGAAAATGCAGAACCTCCATCCTACCCCACCCCAGACCTCTTGACTTGGAGACTGCACTTGTACCGGATCTCAGGTGTGCATATGAAAGTCTGAGAAGCACTGCTTACACTTCAGAGCCCTCCCGGGGGTAGATGAGGCTGTTGACCATGCTGAAGTTGTAGAAGGGGCTGCTGAAAGGGCTGCTTTGGCCCCCACTGGTGCTGGCAGGGAAAGGGCTATAGTAGGAAGATCGCTGGCTGCTGCCAGCACCAGGGCTGTTGCTCAGCTGCAAGGTGTCTGGTGAGGCCTCGGAAATGGAGGTGGTGGGGAATGTGCTGCTGGAAGGCAGCTGGGCCCCCTGGATCCCGAGGTGGCGGCTGCCAGAGATGGCTCGTGGGGTGCTCCCACTGGTGCTGACACTTAAGGTGCTGAGGCTGCTGAAGAAGGTGCTGAGGCACGGGGTGGAGGTGAGCGTGGATGCTCCTGGAGAGGAGGCAGTACTCTTGGTGCCCTCAGGAGGCTCTGGGGACTGTGAAGCTCTCAGCAGAGAGGAGGGGCTGTCTCCTTCTGGCTTTCCACCTACTCCAGCCCCTGGAAGTCCTGAGGCCAGCCCTTCTTCTGATTTTGGTGTCCCTGCAGCCACTGTGGAGCTGCTGCTGGCCTCAGAGCGGCGTTTTCGCTTCCGACGGAAGTTTCCATTGTCAAACATTTTCTCACAGTTAGGATCCAGAGTCCAGTAATTACCTTTCCCTGAGAAAGAAGACAAGTTAGAGAAGGCCCTATTTTAGTGTAGTAGGCACCTACCTCCTTAATGTTGTAAGACCGTCAGTGAGTGCCTGGAAACAGGGATACTATCAAACCCTAAGTGTACTAAGTTTTTTCCTGTATATACATGCCTATGAAGTTAAATGTATAAATTAGGTACAGTAAGACATTAACAATAGCTAATAACACAGCAGAATAGTTATCACAATATACTGCGATGAAAACTATGTGAATGTTATCCGTTTATTTCTGAAATTTCTCAATTGTTTTGGACTGTGATTGATCTTGGAACCACAGAAAAGTTCAGCTCTAGCAAAGTTAGCACCCTATCTGAAAAACAAGCCAAAAAGAAAAAACAAAAGAAAAAGAAAAAGAACTGATGGCATGGTTTAAGTGGTAGAACACTGTTCAATACAGTACAGAAAGAGAAAAGAAACTGAGGATTGAGGATAAGGGAGGACTGCTGTGCTTCACTTTGAGTCTGGGAGAAGAGAGACTCACTAAACACTGAGGAAGATGCTCATGCCACTCTACTGCTTTATCCTCTTTTGCAGGACACCTTATTTACTTCAAGGAGGATCCTGGAACAAAGTTGTTTTTGCCACTTCTATCTCCTCCCGCAGTATCTGCTGCTTAAATCTGAGGACTTAATTCTCTTCCTGAGGCATGTGTAATTACACCACTCAACACCTTTCCATACTCTAGATCTAGTTGGAGTTACCTGGCAAAATCAAGGAATTCTGAGGCTACTTAAAACCTGAGCTTCCATTTCTCTTGTAAAATAAGGATAACAGCACCCGTCTAGAAGGCTGACTGTGGGACTTAAGTGATTTTGCAGCCTGGTAGCTGGCACATAGCCAGTGAAACACACTATTACAACTATTCCCTAAAAATGCACAACTCCCACCCCTGAAAAAAAAAAAATCACACTAGAAAAAGGAAATCTCAAGATGTTGAAAATTACTGATCAATAAAGTTTTAACAAATTGGATGGCATATAGTTCTAGTACAAGTAAACTTGGGGAATACATGCCCCTGCAAATTTTCTAAGTTTTTTTGGTTCACTAAGCAGATCTGGACACTCATGCTATACACACAATGCTGGTTTTCCGCTTAGAAAATACACCTTACTATCTACAATTGAGATAGAAATGATCTATCATCTTGGAAGATTTTATCATCCAGTACTTTTTTCTTAAAATTTTTGGCAAAAAGCATCCTTGATGTTTGAAAATACTTTTTTTTTTTTTGGGCAATACTGGGGGGTTGGACTCAGGGCCTCACACTTGCCAGGCAGGTGCTCTACCTCGTGAGCCCCTGAAAGTACTTTTCAGCACTTACCTTGTAGTGAGTGCTTTACATGGATAACCTGTTACTCCTCACTGTTCTGTGAAGATCAGCAATATTAGTACCCCCACTTTTCAGATGGAGAAACTAAGGTGCAGACTGGTTAGTAACTTTCATATTTCAAGTGCCATTGGCATGACAGAGGCAGCATTTAAATAGGCTGGCTTTAGACTTAGCATTCTTAACCACCACGGATTTTTTAAGACAGAGAAAGGTTTATTACACAGCTCGGGACATGCTGTAGGAAGAGGCAGAGTAAGCACTCAGCTCATCCTCAACCATCTTCACACCTTTTTTGGGTTTTTGAGACAGGGTCTGGCTGTGTCACTGAGGCTGGCCTTGAACTAGTGAGCTTCCTTCAGCCTCATTCTTCAAATGCTGGGATTACAGAGGTGCACCATCATACCTGGCCTCTAACTACAGTGCACTGCATTAAGTTGCCCCACAAAGGAGCATGCACTCCCCCCTAAGCTCATTTTCTCCAATGAAGTATTTTCTGGAGATAGAGGCAGAAAAAAAATTATATAACTATCATTTAGGTAACAATACCTACAACCTATCTGGATATTATACTGGACCAGCTTGGAACCAATAGCTTTCCTACCTGGCCCCTCACCTTTGGTACTACAGATTAAACCCAGGACATGCTAGGCAAGTGCTCTACCACTGAGCCATAACCTCAAGTCTCCAATTATATTTTTTTAGATACCAATAACTTTGAACTTTTAAAGCTCAGAGGAGTTCACATAAGTGGTGAATTAGAGGCCAAATCAGGAAGTTGGCTCTTCTAGAGCTCCATGTCCTATCTGATACAGTAATTACTAGCCACCTGTGGCTATTTGACACAGTCCAGAGCAGGGTGTTGTGGTACCAATATGTAATTCTAGCTTTCAGAAGGCTGGGGCTGGAAGACCCCAGGCTCCAGGCCAGCCTGGGTTACATAGTGAGGCCCCAAGTCAATGAACCAAAAGAAAAAAAAAAAAAAAGGTGGCTAGTCCAAATTAGGATGTGGTATAAAATACACACAAGATTTTAAGGTCCTAAAACCGAGAAAATAACATATAAAAAAACTCACTAGTAATTTTTATATTTGTTTTATGTTCAAACATTTGGCCACTTAAAATTAATACTTGGGGAACTGGGGGAGTAGCTGAAGTGGTAGAGTCCCTGCTTTGAAAGTTTTAACCCCTCAGCTCAAACCAGTCCCACCTCCCCCCAAAAAATTAATACTTAAAATGTGACCGGTGTCTCTTCACTTTTTGAATGTGTCTACTAGAAAAGTTACAATCACAAGTGGCTTGCACTGTACAGAAGTTCTTTGGGAAAACACTCCCTAAAATGAATTCCAAAGGCTGGCGGTATAGTTTAGATTGTGTATTTAGCATGCATGAAACCCAGGGGTCCATCCCCACCACAACAATAACTTCAGGGATGAGTCCATTCTGAGATCCAGAGTATTTCCATAAAGTCCCCTATCTCTGCAGTGTGTGCCAAAATGGTTTTATTTCCCTTCTGGTTTTCCTGTCGTAACTCCCTCCCTTTCCCTTGTCCTGGGCTCCTTTAGAAATCCTCTCCTAGGAATCTGTTTCTTCTCTCTACCTCCACCGCTCTGGGCCAGGTAAGAGAAACCCTCACATCAAAACGCAGCCCTGCTGGCTCTGGAACTTACTGGGCTTAAAAAGGAAGCAAATTTGGAACACTCATTTCTAACTTTCTAACTAGTTAAGTTTAAAAACCGCAATTTACACAAGCCATTCAAGTTCTCCCAACCCCTGCCCTGACTCAAGATGCCTGTGCCACCATAGATAAGTCATCTCTCTCACGGTCGGCATAGCACTGGCTCTGATAAGGACGCACTGAGACCTTTACGAATCTGAGAGGAGGATGTGCTCCAAAGCGCAGCCTGACTAGCTCTCTCACCTTCTGTGAAAGGTGATGACTCTCAGTTCACCTGAACCCCTTTACAACCACCCATCCCTCATCTGAGAGCTCGCGCCTGCTCTTACGCCTCCATCGTCTCCCAGCAATTAGACGGTCCCTTCAATGGACCGATGAGCACCCCCCGGGGCAGAGCTGGCCTCCCGTGTGAGGCCACGAACGTCTTTCTTTTTCTCTAACTGGCCAGCCGATGTGTGGGGGGGTGTAAGGGAAGAGCTCGTCCCTTAGCTGGTCCTCCCTCGGAAGACGTCCAATACTTCTCTTTGTCCTCTGGGTCCCTAGCCTCCGTCAGATGAGAGACTGAGGTGGTTGTTTCTCCATCTGCTACCATCCCGGTACGAATGAGAAGACGCCTCGCGGCTCTTCAAGGCGGCCACATACAGACTCCCTAGTGGGTTCCACCGCCACGCTCCCGCCCTCCCCAGCCAGGAAGCACCTGCCCGGTCGCCCTCACCTGGGTCATCCTCGTCGCGGGGCACCTTCTTGAAGCAGTCGTTGAGCGACAGGTTGTGGCGGATGGAGTTTTGCCAGCCGGCCTTGCTACGCTGATAGAAGGGGAAGCTGTCCGCGACGAACTGGTAGATGTGGCTGAGGGTGAGCTTGCGCTCGGGCGCGCTCTGGATGGCCATGGCGATGAGCGCCGAGTACGAGTAGGGCGGCCGCACCATCTTCATCAAGTCCTCGCGGCTGGCCATGGATAGCCAGCCCAACTCACCAGGAGCCGCGGGCCCGGCGGGCGAGGCGGGCGCGGCGGGCGCCGACTGCGTAAAGGGCCGCGGCGCGCAACCGAACGAGCCGGCGGCGGGCGGCGGCTGCAGGAAGGGTCCGGCGGCGGCCCCGGGGGGCGGCGGCGGCGGCGGCGGCGGCGGGGCGCCCAGATACGCAGCGGCGGCGGCTGCGGCGGCGGAGGGCGGGCCGCCCACGCCGGGCCCGTTGAGCCACAGGTAGGGGTTGGCGGCGGCGGCCGGCGGCGCGGTGTAGTCTGCCAGTCTGTAGGGCGCCCTGGCGGCCGGGGGCGCGCCCGGGGTGGCGGCAGCGGCGGCGGCGGCGGGCGGGGGGAGCCCGGGCTGCGAGTACACGCCGAAGTTGTCGCCGCAGTACAGGGCCATGTCGGCGGCCGTGGGCGGGTGCGGCGCGGCCGCGGCGAGGGGCGAGCGGGGCTGGTCTCGCCACTCGGGCGAGAGCATCCCTTTGGGGGCCAACCCTGCGGCCCGCCTCGGCCCTCGTTCGGTGCCCGGTGCTCCGGGCCGGGGTTAGGCAGGTGCACGCGTAGCTCCGGTAAGCTGGTCTCTTATACCCGACCTCCCGGGCTGGGCGGCGGCCCCGGGCCCCGGCTCTCCACGCCCCCGCCACGCCCCACCTGCCCGCGCGCGCCGGCCCGGCCCGCCCCGGGAGGCCGCGGCTCCAGGTTTAAGGTGAGAAGCGCCAACCAATCCGAGCCCGCGTATTCTTAACCTAATAGCAAGATAAGACAAGTATAAAAACGGGAAGATAACCCAAACCCTAGCAACGGTTTCTTTCAAACTCCGTAAGATGTTTCGTGGCGGCCGCTCGGGCCACCTGCCTCCAGCCCCGCTGATTTTCCTTCCTCAGTCAAGCTCCGAACCTTTGGCGATCGACTTACGGGATTCGCGTTCGGTCTCCCCCGATCAGGATCGGCTTCCAGTCCAAAATAATAGTGTGATTTACAGCCAGCCCTTTGGGGTATTGGGTAGAAGGTGTGAGCCGGACCTTGGAGCATCCCTTTCTCTTTCTCCGGGATTCCCTCATCCCACGGACTGAGATCCGTGTTGTTCGGTTTTTCTAACCAACTCGTTCACACGCTCGGAAAGCACTTGTTCGTTCGTTCGGACTTTCCGTGAGATGATTGCTTATCTTTAGAAAGGTGAAGGTTTTCAAAGACACTTAAGTAAGTGGGTTCGGAATTAGCATTTTAAAGCCGAAAGTTTCAAGCGATTTAAACTGTTCCAGAGCGCTCCTACACAAACGCAGTCTCATTTAATTAAGGCATATGACTTTTTAAATGCGGCTCCCTGCCTGGGAAACAAACAAAACCAGTAAGATACTGTGGCGACGCCACGTGCCAAGCAATCCTTATTTAATGGTTCCAAATAACAGTAAGAAAATGGTCTCTTTTACAATTGAAAGTATTCCCGAATGTGTTGTTACTAAGTGACAGAGCTGAAGCCCTCATTTATGAGAGTAAAGAAGAAAAAAAATTCTTTTTCTATTTGTCGGTTGCAGACTGACAGTTCAGAATGTTTAATAATCTGGAAACATCCGCCTCCCCCTCGCCAAGGGAGGACATTTCTTTTCATGGTAAAGTTTGATATGTAATGTAGCATCTCACCTTTTTAAAAAAATAAAATACAGAGACAGTTCATTAGCAAATTTGGGTGCCTCAAATGTAAATCTTACTTCAAATGTAATTACTTAGTCATCTTTTTGGAAATCAGAAACGAATTATTGTCAACTCTGAGTACACTATTTAGAAAATTCTGAAAAAGGAAAGTGTCTCGATCGTATTTTGGTGTGAGGATCTATTTTTTTTTTAATTTAGATGAACAATGTGCCTTTTTTTGTTTGTTTGTTTCCTTCTCAAATGGCCTGAAACGAAGTTGTCTGGTTTTGTTTTGAGATTTCACCTGGGATGTTACGTTAATAACTACGAGATGACAACTATAGCCCTGGAAACCGGAAAGCAATTTGTAATGTTATAATGCCCAAGTTTAATATTTGCTCTTAAATGTAAAGGTGTAAGCTAAACAGAGAACCGCCCAAAAGAAAGGTTGGGAGCCTAGATGGCAAGAAATCAGAAACTTTGAGGCTGCCTCCCTTTTAGTAATTGACGTTCTTGGTTTTTTGTTTTGTTTTGTTTTTCTTGGCGGAACCTGGGTTTGAATTCAGGGCCTCACACTTGCTAGGCAAGCACTCTTACCCTTAAGCCACTCTACCAGCAGTAATTGGCTTCTTGCAAATGTAATTCCTTCCCAGCTATCTTAGCAAATTGCTTATCCATACATGCTTTGCAATTTTGCAGTTTTTCTTTAGGGTCTAATTCTTAAGCCGCTAGTTTTAAATTATTCCGAATGAGAGGCCATGGTTACAGATTATGGTTGTTGCTTTGCTTTAAGTTCTACCTCGTAGGGAATTTTTTTGTTTCTTAACTACACTTTTATCTTTTGCAAACTTTTATTTGATTTAAAAAGGACAGAGCCATCTAGCGACTCTTTACCTCTATTACAGCACACCCTCTAGTGATTGGAAGTTACATTTCTTTATTTTCAATCACATTTTAATTATATAAACTTAATTACATAAACTTAAAACTTAATAACCAGGATTATTTAATGTAAGATTTAAACAATGTTTTTAAATCCCTGTTTTTTGGCGGTTTTTGAACTCAGGGCCTCAAGTTTGCTAGGCAGGTACTCTACCACTTGAGCCACTCCACCAGGCCCCTTAAATCCCTATTTAAAAAAGAATCAAGCAAACTTAAAGTGTTGATGCACTTTAAAAAATAAACAGGGTAAAAAGTGCTTAAAATGCAAGCTCCAGTTGGGAACCTGTGTCTCATGCCTGTAATCCTAGCTACTTGGAAGTCTGAGATCAGGAGGATCTCAGTTTGAGGCTAGTCAGGGCAAATAGTTCTAGAGACCCCTCCCTATCTTTAAAATAATCAGAGTAAAATGCAAAATGCAGTAGAGTGCCTGCTTTACAAGCAAGAAGGCCTGAATTCAAACTCCAGTCTTACAAAAAAAAAAATGCAAGTTCCCTGTAACGTTTTTTGCACTTGCCTTTTCACAAGATGATATAACCAAGACAACTGATTAATGCATTTATGCCAGTGTAAAATAAAGATAGGCTGCTAATGTGTTTTCATTACTGTAGTATAAAATACTTAGGGACATTATGCAGCCCAAAGAAAATATCACATGTATTTTCCACTGCCGTTGGTAACATTGTTGTTGCTTCTTTGAAATGGCTAAACACAGTGAATTATGGAATGTAGGCTTTTTTTTTTTTTTCCAGTGCTGGGGATGGAACCCAGGACATCATGAATGGCTAGGCAAGCACACGACCACTGAGCCATGCTCCAGGCCTAATACAGTAATTTTAAACAAATACTGCCATGGAATGTAAAATTTATTACGCTTGGTAATCTGCAACATTTTAGAAACATTAGCATATTAGTGTTTGCTAGTATTTTTACTTGTTTCTAGAAAAGGAAAAAGGTCAAATAAACTGAAAATAGCTCTTAACTTCTCGCAGCAGCCAACTTTGACCAAAGATTGCTGTGCCTACAGTCAGTCCTTTTTATCTCAGCATCTGTCTTATCTCATGTCATCCACCAGAAAAACCCCATAGGTAGAAATCGAATCAGGGGATCTGCCCATTTTTCCTATCTGGCTTTCTCCTTGACCCTATAGTTAGTATATCTTACCTTTTCTAGTAAATCAGAAGCTCACTGGAGATGAATCCTTGTAAGTAATTCATATCTTAAGCATCTTGCACACTGTGGAATAAGCAAATATCAGTTATTTTAAAAATCAGTGTCTGGTGAGTTAATAAATGCCACACTGGAATATGAATAAGCCTGCTCAAGGATGTAAAAGCATACACACAATACAAGCAGAAATCCAAAATTGGACCTGGAGAAAAATTTCTATAGCAAAAAAGAATAAAAGCATTACCTACATGTGGGAGAAAAGTCCAACTCTGGAAATAATGGACTAGAGGAATGGAATGGAGACTTTTAGAAAATATCTGCTTGGGCTGGTGGAGAGGCCCAAGCGGTAAAAGTGCCTGCCTAGCAAGTATGAGACCCTGTGTTCAAACCCCAGTACTGAAAAAAAAAAAAAAAATTGCCGCCGGGTGTTGGTGGCTCATGCCTGTAATCCTAGCTACTCAGGAGGCAGAGATCAGGAGGATTGCAGTTCGAAGCCAACCTGAGCAAATAGTTTGTGAGACCCTATCTTGAAAATAGGCTAGCTGAGTGGCTCAAGGTGTTGACCGAGTTCAAACCACAGTACCGCAAAAAAAAAAAAAAAAAAAAATGCCATTATAGCCAGGTGCTGGTGGCTCGTGCTTGTAATTCTAACTACTCAGGAGGCAGAGATCAGGAGGATCTAGGGTTGAAGCCAGCCCCAGGCAAATAGTTCTCAAGACCCTATCTCAAAAAACCCATCACAAAAAAGGGCTGGCGAAGTGGCTCAAGCAGTAAGAAGGGTGGGCCCTGAGTTCAAACTTCAGTGTCACCAAAAAAAAGAAGATGTCTGCTTTTCATTTTCAATAAATGTAAGAAAATTTGGCATTTATGAGACAAGAAGTCTTTTCTTTTTTTCTTTTTTGAGGTAGTGGGGTTTGAACTCAAAGCTTCGCACTTGCTAGACAGGTGCTCTACAGCTTGAGCCATGCCTCCAGCCCTTTTTGCCCTGCTTAATTTTTGAGATAGGATCTCGTGTTTATGCCCTGGTCGGCCTGAACTGCGATCCTCCTATTTTGTACTTCCCACTGTAGCTGACAGGTGCAGGTCACCACACCCAGCTATTGGTGGAGATGGAATCTCGAACTTTTTGCCAGGGCTAGCCTCAAAACTCAATCCTCCTGGTCTCCACTTCCTAAGTAGCTAGCATGACAGGTATAAGCCACCTCACTCTGCTGAGACAAGAAGTCTTTATGAAACAAGCAAAAGTGGGGATGAAAAACAGGGTGAAAGATTGCAGGTGTGGCTCAAGTAGCAGAACAACAACAAAAAAGGAAGTAATACAGCAGAGAGCAGAAGTAATGTGGCGGAGAGTTATAAAGTTATATTTAAAAAAAAGAAATATTGTATGCACATATGAATAAAAGAAAAAAAAATAAAAACATCTATGATGTGTCTATTAAATGAAAGGCAGTCCACCAACCTCAAAAAGTAGAAACAAAACAAAGTGACAGAATGACTGTTAGAACTGGAATTAGAAGAATTAATCTGTATTCAGTTGGAGAATTGGAAGTTGATTAAGAATTGTAGACGAGCAAGGAGCCAGTTGCTTACACCTGTAATCCTAGCTACATGGGAGGCTGAGATCAGAAGGATGTGGTTCAAGGCCAGCTGAGGTAAATA